TCATTTGCCGAATACTTCATCACTAAGTTTGATCTCCCGACCAACTATCTTCCCGACACGGAGAGGATGAGGTACGCATACGAGCTATACCAACATGGTCGTATGAAGCAAAAATATTCGTGTGAGAGCGATGATGAATCCCCTGGGACGCTTGATGATATACAACGTGCAAAGCTCGCATCAGTTAGTTAGAATATGCCTACCTTTTGAAGGAGTACTGTTTGTCTTGTGTATGGAGAGTTGAACCATGTTGATACTATTTGGCATTATGTTTTGTTGCAATTTTTCTTTTTTTTTTTTTTTACTTTTTTCTGGTGAACTTCAGTGAATGTATATTGGTGCTATTGATTTAGATATTTGATTTTGCACGATCTTAACCTATCCGGTCATTTTTTTGCAGACATATACACGCATACTTTAGGTAATGTGTTTACCTAACGTATATTATAAATAAATTTAGTAATGTGTTTACCTAACGTATTTTATGCCGTGTTGTAATGATAAAATAGGGACATAAGCACACATATTGTTTATCTAACGTATATTATGCCGTGTTGTATATTACATACTTTAAGTAATGTGTTTATCTAACGTATATTATCCCGACATAAGCACACATACGTGTTTAACTCATTTATATTACATACTTTAAGTACTCTGTTTATCTAACGTATACATAAGCACACATTTTGTTTATCTAACGTATATTATGCCGTGTTGTATATTACATACTTTAAGTAATGTGTTTATCTATCGTATATTATCTCGTGTTGTAAACATAACATAAATACATAAGCACACATACGTGTTTAACTAATGTATATCACATACTTTAAGTACTCTGTTTATCTAACGTATATTATACTGTGTAGTCAACTCGAGTACATGATTGTCACTTATTTAATTTTTATTTATACTAATAAGACACATAAATGTACCAAATAACCATATTCTTATATGCACAACTTATGTAGGTTTGAATTTCACCATCATTTTTTTTTTTTTAAAAAATACTCCAGTACAAATTTACCAAAAGTAAGGAATAACGAAACAACCATAACAGAAATGTCAGTAATATTATGAAAAACGTAAACATTAAGTAAACACATCAAACTAATTTTGTTTAACGCTCTTCGGATTTAAACATGTCTTTACATTATGCCCTTTCCCACCACATTTGCTGCACCTATTTTTTACCCGAGACTCCCATCCTGGCTTGAGTCTTTGCTGCCGCCGACGTCCTGGCCTCACTCTTCCAGTAGGTGGATTGATAGTTCCAATGACATCAGAATCAACCGCACTGCATTTTTGGCTTGTCTCAATAGGGAAAACTGGTTCTGCATATGTAGCTAGCATAGTATCCGTTAAGTAATGTATTGAACAAAATGGAACTGGATCCAAATAAAGGGCTCTAATCACTCGGATGGCATGTGAACAAGGCAATTCATCCATCTGGAAACGATTGCATGTGCAAGACTTCGTCTCCAAATTTACTACATATCCACTTCTGTCGGATGACACCTTAAACACCTTGTCACTTGCCTTTTGTATCTAAAAGAAAAAACAATAAAAAATAGTTTCGAATGATACATCGTGTAATAAATGGTATATATACATATTTGTATGTAAATTTATGTATATTAAAAAACAACATAATGTTTTATAATTTAATGTATCTCACCGAAAAGCTGGCAGCTACTTTATAATTATTTTCGAGCGTCTTGTGAGCCTTCTTTGCTAACGTTGTAAACGTCGACGCTGCTTCATCTCTATTAGCCACATTCCACTTTTGTTGTAAAGATCTCAATGACTCCAAAAGTGTTGTTATTGGTAAGTCACAGATCTCTCGCGTGGCGGAGTTAATTGCTTCTGCCGCATTGGACGTCATCGTAAAGTACCTGTTGCTTGGACAATGAATCCTAGCCCATTTATGTATTCCAATTTTCTCCAAAAACGGGGGTACTCGAGGATCAAGATTTTTTATCTCCACCATATGATGATTGTAATCATCAACAGTGTATGCCCTCGCAGCTGCATTAAAGGCATCCTTAACAGCGCTTGGTTCTTTCTTGAAATGTGTCCGCAAGTTGTTCGATATATGATAGGCACATAAACAGTGTGAAGCCTCTGGATATACCTGCATGATGAATAAAATATATTTAAATATTCAAGACAAAGATTACAACAATATGCGTTTGTTTATTTACTGTATATATTACTTTTATATACCCAATAGGTCAGACATATGAGTTTGTTTACTTACTGGATATATTACGTTTATATACACAAGAGGTCAAAAATATGTGTTTGCTTACTTAATGTATATATTACGTTTATATACCTAAGAGGTCAGACATAGGAGTTTGTTTACTTACCGTATATATTACGTTTATATACACAAGAGGTCAGAAGTATACCTTTGCAACTGCATGTTTTATACTTTCATGTCCATCAGAGACAATGCACAAACCTTCCCGGACAGTGAGTGCTTCCCTCAACTTTGAAAAGAACCATGTGTATGAATCATTATTCTCAGAATCAACAATGCAGAATGCCAATGGAAGTATATGGGAGTTGGCATCTTGACAACATGCTGTAAGCAATATCCCTCCATATGCCGAACTAAGGAAAGTCCCATCGACAACAATAATAGGTCTACAATGATTCCAACCTTTAATTGAAGCATTAAGACACATGAATACGTACATGAAGTGCTGGTCCGATGTGGCAGACAATCTCACGACACTATGTGGGTTCGATTCACAAATTTTTTGCAAGTACTCGTTTATTTTACCATAAGACATTTCTGGATTACCTCTCACTTCTTCCATAGCTTTTTTCTTCGACCTCCATGCCTTCTGGTAAGACAACTCTATTCCATGTTGAACTTGCATGTCGTGTATTATGTCCCCTGGAGCATAAGTTGTCTTCAAATTTGTGAATCTCGATCGAATGAACCCACTTACAATGTTGGACGTAGCCTGTCGTTGACCACTTGTACGTATTTCAAATGGACATGAATGGTTGCGCCCCACATCCCGAATCTTGAAAATGTT